AAAGCAATCTACAGATTCAGTGCAATTCCCATCAGAATACCAACATAATTCTTTACATACCTTGAAAGAAAAATTCTCAATTTCATATGGAAAACAACAACCCCAGAATTGCCAAAAACAATCCTGTACAATAACAAATCTTCTGGAGGTATCACCATACCTGATCTCAGCAACAATAATAAAAACTGCATGGTATTGTCATAGCAAGGGTCTGGGGGATCAATGGAATTGATGTAAATACCCAGAAAAAAAAAACACACACACACACACACACCTATGGATATCTGATTTTTGATAGAGAAACCAAAAACAATACAATGGAAACAAGATAGCATCTTCAACACATGGTGCTGGTCTAACTGGATGTCTACATGTAGAAAAATGCAAATAGATCCATACTTATCTCCCTTCACAAAAATAAAGTCCAAGTGGATCAAAGACCTCAACATAAAACCAGACACACTGAACCTGTTAGAATAAAAAGTGGAGTAGAGCCTTGAACCCGTTGGCACAGAAGACAACTTCCTGAACAGAACCAAAACAGCACAGATCAACAATCAGTAACTGTGACCTCACGAAACTGAAAAGCTTCTGTAAAGCAAAGGACACTGTCATCAGAACAAAACGACAGCCTACAGATGGGAAAACGATCTTCACCAACCCTATATCTGACAGAGGGCTGATATCCAGAATATATAAAGAACTCAAGAAGTTAAACATCAACAAACCAAGTAATCCAATTAAAAAATGAGTTACAGAACTAAACAGAAAATTCTCAATAGAGGAATACCAAATGGTAGAAAAACACTTAAAGAAATGTTCAAAGTCCTTGGTCATCAGGAAGATGCAAATCAAAACATCCCTGAGATTTCATCTTAAACCCACCAGAATGCCTAAGATTAAAAACTCAAGTGACAATATATGCTGGAGAAGATGTGGATAAAGGGGAACCCTCCTCCATTGCTGGTGGGAATTTAAACTAGTACAGCCACTTTGAAAACCAATTTGGCTCTTTCTGTGAAAATTAGGAATACTGTTACTAAGATATCCAGCTATACTACTCCTAGGCATATATCCAAAATACGCTCACATATACAACAAGGTCATTTGCTCAACCATGTTCGTTGCAGCTCTATTCATAATAGACAGAAGATGTAAACAATGTAGATGTCCTTCAATGGAGGAATGGATACAGAAATTGTGGTACATTTACACAACGGAACACTATTCAGCTACTAAAAACAAGGTAATCATGAAATTTGCAGGTAATGGTGGGGACTAGAAAACATCATCTTGAGTGAGGTAACATAGAAGCACAAAGTCACACATGGTATATACTCATTCATATGTGGTTATTAGACATAAAATATAGGATAAACATACTAAAATCTATTCTCCTAAAGAAGCTAAACAACAAGGAAGACCCTAGGGAAAATGCTCAATCCTCATTTAGAAGGGCAAACGCATTAGACATTGGAAGCAGAAGATAAGGAACAGGACAGAAGGCTACCACAGAGGGACTCTGAAAGACTGTACTGATGGAAGCATCGAAGCAGAGACTGAGACTCATAGCCAAACTTTGGGCAGAATGCATGGAATTTTATGAAAAAGGGGGAGACAGAAAGGCCTGGATGTGACAGGAGCTTCAAAAGGAGACCAAGAGAAAGAGAGAGAGAGAGAGAGAGAGAGAGAGAGAGAGAGAGAGAGAGAGAAGAACCAAAACAACAACAACAACAACAACAACAAAAAAAAAAAAACAACTGGGCCCTGGAGGTCCTACGAGGACTGATACCCCAACCAAGGACCGTGCATGGAGAGGACCTAAAACCCTTGCTCAGATGTACCCATAGACTCAGTGTCCAAGTGAGTATCCTAGGAAAGGGAGCAGGGACTGTCTCTGACATTAACTGATTGGCCTGCTCTCTGCTCACCTACCCCTGAGGGGGGAACAGCCTTGCCAGTCCACAGAGGAAGACAATGCAGCCAGTCCTGATGAAACCTGATAGGCTAGGGTCAGATGGAAGTGGAAGAGGTACTCCCCTATCACTGGACTAGGGGAGGGGCATTAAGGAGAAGGGGGATGGAGGGTGGGACTGGGAGGAGATGGGAAGGTGGCCACAGCAGGGATACAGAGTGAATAAATTATAATATATAATGATAATTAAAATAGAATAAAAGAATAAGTGCAATGAGGACTTAATCATTTAATTTTCTTCTCTCCCCAAATAAAGAATGCATAAAGTGAAAAGCCTGTTACATTCTGAAAGAACTACGTGAAATGATTTATGCTGATTATTTTTGTCATTGTCAAAGTCAAATGCAATATTTTAAGGAGGAACCTAAGGGAGGCAAATTTAAAAGTAATATTTAAAGCCTTGGTGCAGTCTGTTAGACAATAGGAATCTATACTCACAGCTTGGTTCATTGTTAGTTTTAGTTTTACTGCCATTTTATTTGATTGGGCAGAAAAAGTGAGTCTAACTAACATAAATTGGAGAGGAGTATGTACTCCTTCAATGTGATATAGGGGGTTCCTCAAAATTCTTTTTCATTTCTCTAAAATTTTACTCTCCCATTTTCTTTGCCAGTGGCCTTGTCTCATAATTTCAATCTATCTATCTATCTATCTATCTATCTATCTATCTATCTATCTATCTATCTATCTGACCATATCCTGGTCTGTGGCATCTGTTTTAATATCCTTCTCATCAGACAAGTGATATCTTAATTGGCACTAGCTTGAAATACGATTTGCAGCATGGATGCTTGTCACAAAATCCACTTGCTGTTGCAGCCAAATTCGGTTATGTCCTATATTCTCACCATTTCTGGTTAAGTATGGATCTGGAAAACTCCTGGTAAGTCTCAGACTTCTTTGTGGTCAACCATTTGATGAATTTCTTTCAGCAGATCTTCAATGGACATCCCATTCACTACAATTGTTCGTTTTATGACACTGGTACAAACCTTTTGGCTCCTTTCAAATCTGAAATTTTGGAAGGAACTTGCTGTTATAATCATGCATTATGATTTCAGGTAAATTTGACCTTTTAAATCACTGTTCACAAATTTATTTAACATTTATGTACATAAACCTAATGATCTAGGGGATCAGCTGTAAAATGTAGTTAATAGTAGAGCTAGTTTGAGGCTAGAATAAAACATAAAGTGATTATGTAGCACTCTACTCAATAAACTTTGTGCTATTATTAATAGTAATACTTTTATAACATTACTTGTGTAATCAAAATTCCTTTTCAATTTTTTGTGTATATTTTGAAGTTTGGGTTATTAAAGCTTTTAAAATTTTATTTGTGTTGTACCAGTAACATGAAAACATCATTATTTTATGTACTACTGTTTTTCCTCCTTGAGTGTGTTTAGGGAAAGGGGCTGTCAACCCATGCCAACTGAAGAAAGTGATGTTCTGTATCTCATAAAACTGAGTTAGACAAAATGGCTACAGTAGGAACAGACATGATTTATTGACATTATTGAAATGACTATAGGAATAAAAGGAGTGTCTTGTTTACTCAGTGTCCCAAGTGGAAGTGAAAACTATGATGGTGGCAGAGTTTGCTACTAGACACTCTAGAATTGTCATTGAAAGTGAAAAAGCCTCAGTAGGCAAACTGTATTACTAAACGTTGCATAGCAGCCTGCACAGGTTTTTGAAGCAAACAATATGTGAAACATCATGTTTGCAATTTGTCACTAACTTTAAATCCTATTATTACTCTCCGGTTCTTATATAAGAACAACTGAACACAAAATGACATCATGTAAAATAGATATCAGGGACCTTGTGTTGAAGGAGTTGTCTGGAAACCTGAAGTAAATGCTTGGAAAAAGCACGTGTGGGGTTCGGAAGGCTGTCTCAGAATCACCTGGAGCCGCTTGCAGTTGGCAGCTCTGACTTCCCATGTCCCTTTTATCACCCAGGGGAGATCCGACAGCAGGAGCCATCTAGTCTCTCATTGGTGCTTCTGGCTAGAGCCGGGTCCCCCGTCTACGGAAGCCCACACCCGGGTTCTCCGCATGAGCGCTCCTATCTGGGGGAGTCACCTCGGAAGCCCACTCAACAGCTGCAAGGGCTACAGCAAGAAAAACCAGGGCTCCCATTGTCACCTTAGCAGTTCAGCAGTGTCCCCTCCCTTCGGTGGCCAGGGTTGGGGGAAGGATAAGATGTCCTCCCCCGCTACCTCGGCTGTGGGTTCAACTGGTGGGGCCTCCCGTCTTGCTACTGAGTCTCCCGGGAGGCCACTGGGAGCTACGCTCCTGCAGCCGCACCTGACCGACTAAGAACCCAAGCTCAGTCGGACTCCAGCTCCAGAGCCAGGTCTCCACCACTTCAGGCGGCGTCTATACATGGCCTCCCGGCGAGGGTCTGGCCAAGTGCGGGGGACCCCCGGGGGCGGGGAGACGACGGAGTGAACGGCCCACACCTAGCCGCCTGTCTGAGAGAACTCGGGCCCCGGTCTCGCGCCGGCACACGCACGCGCACAGGTCTCGCGCGCCGGGCTGTCGGTCCTTGGGGGCGGGACCGCGCGGCGGCGAGCGGGCGGGGGGCTCTTGGAGCGCGCGCCCCGCACCCGAGGGCTGCGGAGAGATATTTTGGGTGGCAGGAGGCCCCTCGTCATTTCCGCCGGGCGCCTCGTCGTGCCTGGGGCTCCACTCCCGCGCGCCAGGCAAGCAGGCGGGCAAGTTGGCTGCGGCCGTGCGCCAGCACCTCTCGCCTTCCCAGCCGCGACCCTTGGCGGCTTGAGCCATGAACTGAAGCCCCTTGGGACGCACACCCCGGGGCCGACCGGCGGACGCTGCAGCTGCAGCCGCCGCCAGGGCTGGGAGCGAGCCGACCCCAGCGCCTTTCCCCGGCCATCGCCGCTCCCACCGCTGCCGCCTCCGACGCTGCAGCCCCGGGACCGACACACAAAAGCCGCCTTCTCTGCGCTGCCCACCCCGGGAGTCTGCAGCCGGCCACCGACCCCACCTGAGGGCGCCTCGGGCTGCGGACTTCGCTTTCTGTCCGAACTCCTCCGCGTCCCACGCGGCACCAACCCCGCCGCCCATGGCTCTGATCATGGAACCAGTGAGCAAATGGTCTCCGAGTCAAGTAGTGGACTGGATGAAAGGTAATGCCCTCTGTGGGGAGGGCGAGGCGACACTGGGGCGCAGGGTCCCAGTATGAAAGGGAGGGGCTCCTGCCAGGGCACAACCCGTCCTAGAAGCTTCCAACCGACTGCTAAGGTTCCTTTCTGGGGATAGTCGGGGGTCCTCGGGATCTGGCAGGGGCTCGAGGACCCTGGTCTCCTTTTGTCTACAGCCGTAGGGGCGCGGGGAGCGAGAGGGCGGCGGGCGCCACCTGGTTGAGGCTGGAAGCAGGGCGGTGGAATCCCCACACATCTTACCCACTTACCGCTTCCCTCGACGCCTTCAGGCCGGGGACGCGGCGACCCTTGTTTTTCCAGCTAAGGGAGGAACCCTTAAGACCTGTTCTCACGGTTGCCCCTTCATCAGCCCCTTTGTTCCTGGAAACCCAAGGCCCTTTCTAGGTGCTTTCCTCAGCGCCAACTCTCCTGGCAACTTTTAAGCCCGCATAATGGGGTCAGGATGCAGTCACTCAGGTTGGAAGCTGGGAACCCCCTCCTCCAGGCTGGGCTGAGTATGATCGAGAAGGGGACGCGCTGCTTTGGGGTGACGAAAACATGCTTCCCTTGGGACAGCATCCGTGCTGATATATGTGGGTTCCCTCCTGCGCACCTCAGCATGTCCTTTCCTTTCCTAGGTTGAGATCTGCGGAGGCTTTAGACCTCTAGCAGCTTCTTGTTAAGGATCCAGGTTAGGTTTAAAGTGATGCGCATTCAAGTACTCTTTCTTCCATATTGAAGGCTCCCCCCCACCGCCCCGAAAATTTCTAATAACCAATTTCAAACCTCCACCCTCCTCCTAGTTGAAAATGTGGGCTTTTTTTTCTAGTCTTTGGGCTTTCCTGTGTCTCACTATCTCCCTCTGTTGTCTGAGTTGAGGGGCTCGTTGAGGACCTCTCCACTCCATTCCCAGACTGAACTCTGAGAAAGGGTTGCCCGCATTGAAATAAAAGATTCATAGACCTGCTTGGAAAATGCTTGGGGAATTTAGAGTTTTGTTTGAGGTCGTACCTGAGCACACAAACTTAAGATATAGGCTTCAAGGCTGAAAATGCCCTTCCAAAGATGAAGAAGGCCCTTTCCTAAGGCTTGCTTAGCAGTCAGACTTTCTAAGCTCTACATACTTGAAGAAGGTGGGAGATGGATTGGAAGGTATTGAAAGTAGGAGGGAGAAACACAATACTCCCCTTACCTTTCCCCTACCCTTCCGGACATTTGCTTATTCTTCTGTGTTTCCCTTTATCTGTTTTGCTTCCTTTTCTCCCTGATTTACCCTGTTATTTCTCACTTACTTTGATATTCTCATCTCCTATGTGGAAAAAAAAATGCTTTGTAACTGCAAAACACAGTGTAAGTGCAAGTGAATTGAATTAGACCTAATTCATTATTTATTTACTGCCCCTGGTGTGCAGTGCATCGGGTGCCATTGGGGTTCTAAAGATGACTAAGACAAAGTCCAGCAGTGGCTCATCTTTTCTGCTGCTTGTTCTTTTTCCATATTTGCAGTTACAATTCCAGCTTCCTGGATTCCCACTAACCCCCCAACCCCAGCACACACACACACACACACACACACACACACACACTCACTCACTCACACACACACACTCACACAGACACAGACACACACCCAGTCACATCTCAGGTTTAAAAAAAAAATCTGTCTTTTCAGTTTCTCAGTCCTGGCTAATAGAGTATTCAAAGGAATTAAGAATGCTTAATTAAAACTCTTTCTTTGAATTTCTCTATAGGTGAATTTAATTTGAGTCTGCAACAATATTCTTGCCTTCAGGGGAATCAAATTAGCTCCATAGACTGCCTTCTAGAAATTTCCACGATGCCAAAGATGAAGAAGCCCCTTTCCTAAGGCTTGCTTAGGAAATGACTTCTGCATACTCCATCTTCTTTACCTCCCACCCTGTTTCGTTCTTGCATTTTCCCCTCTCGTCACTGTTTCAGATCCCCTGAAGCAAGCACAACATATGATGCATGGGATCCGACACACTTTAGTTTTCCAGTACACTAGTCCTTTAAAAAAAAATCTCTCCAGTGAAAAATGCAGTTTCTTTGAACTTTAGTAAAGACTATTTGCTGTAATTTTAACTTCGCATGGTATTTAAGTTGGATAACTTGTTTTTGTACCTGTTGGTGACACATTTTATAGCTACCTAAAAAGATCAGTTAGGTAACCATGATAGAATTTGCACGCCTTTGTGTACCATAAGACTGAGTAAGATTTGGAGAATGGCTGCCTTAATTAACAATTTCAGGTACCAGTTAACTACTTAGCCCCAAAGTGCTTATTGTTAAAATTTCTGCAACAGTCACATACATTTGAGATCCGATCATAAAATGAGATTTAAAAAAAATTAGTTAGAGAAAACGAGCGTTTCCTCAACTTGCCCCTTATAATGTTATGTAACTTGGTTAATTTTCTGTATTTCCTCCCAGTAAACTTTAACAAAAGACATTTAAAAATAGTTTTCACACTTTCCTCATTGGCAGAAATGTTTGAAAGCCAACTACTAATTTAGGCTATCGCTTTGAGATGATTAAACCTTGCTTAATTTTTTTATATATAGTATTATAAAGTCAGTACTAAAGCATGAACAACACTTTTATTTTTGTTGTTGTTTGAAAAGCGATCTCATGTAGTACAGACTGGTCTTGAACTCTCTGTAGCGGAGCGGAGCCTTAAATTTCTGATCTTGCTGTTTCTACAGCCCCAGAATTGGAATTACAGGCATATACCACCACTCCTGGATTTAGGTGGTGCTTGGGATCAAACTTAGGACTTACTATACATTATCACATGTTATCATACTTCCTACAGGCATCAAGTTACCTACATCCCCAGACCCTAAAAAAATGAGTAAGACTCTTGAATAATTGCAGCCTTCTGAGACTTCCTCGGAATATGTTACTTGTGTGACAGCTTCGTCATCCTTAGCAATTGTAGTTTTCAGCTGGGCACAATAGGATTTACTTATACTTTAGTAAGGCACGTACTTTATTATTTCTAGGAATTTTTATTTACTAAGCAGAACAGTACAATTAGATAATATATATGATTATACGAAATTTATAGCAATGATGTAGAAGCTAAATCTTCAAAGAAGGAAATGAAGGAGAAAAATAAACTTATCGGGCTTTTGTAGCATGTGTTCAAACCTGTTTTAAGGAAGGACATTAATGTGGCATTTGATTTTTATCTATTTTATTGTAATGTATTTGAAGGAGATATGGATGTAAACTGTATATATTCATTATTAGCAAAGACATAAGGTGCTCAGGCACTCTTAATAAATATAGCAACTTTTTGCTGTATTTACACTAGTCAAATTTTTTGCTGGCAATGAATATTTGATATGGAACATTGTCATTGTTAGTTGCAGTAAATACAGAATACACGATCTACTTATGAGTCAGTAAAATAAAGACTTCTATTCCAGATTATTTTGCTAGTACTTCTGGATTTTTGGAGATAGCTCATAAATTTTTATATTAGTTAAAAATTACATTTATAAAACTACTTATAGAGAAAATTAATATGCACAACCCATTTATTAACACTTGGAATCAATGTTCAATTGGAAACTATATTCAATCAACCAAGGCAAGCAAGTTACTGAGAAATGTCATAGACAATCCAATAAGCCAATAACTAATTTATTGCTGAGCCTTTTATTCTAAAATGTTGTTTTCAGTTCCTGTTTGACAGTTCTAGAAATACTTCACAATCTGTAGGTACGTCGTTCATTCTCTACTTTTTTTTTTCTCACTGAAATATAGCAAAATACTCCAAACGCTTCAGTGTTCCTCTTATTAATTTTATTACAAGATTTCCTTGTTTATTTTATACCAAGTAATTCCACTCTTCCTTTTGTAACTTTTTGAGCTTTGAGACTAATGCAAAATATCCACATGATGAAGATAATTATTTTTTAGAACCATTTCCCTCTGTGACATTTTTCTAGTGAGCTTTAATCTCTTTCTGGGCTAAATAAAATGACTATCATCTTCAGAGTGAAGCAAAAGGCCCACTTTGCTGTTATTTTCTTATGATTGCTGGGACTTAATGCTAATCAGTCTTTCAGTATTACGATCCCTAAAATAATCTAAAACTTTAAGATAGTTTTTAAGCTATTCCGCAATCAAGTGCCCTACTCTTTCTTGTTCACAGTAAACCATTTTGTTCAAGAAGCAGTCCCTGACTTCTGATTTCTATACAAATGACTCAGCCATTTTGAGGATAGAAAATGAAATACCTTATTTTAGGTATTAAAAAGAAAAACCTAATGTTTTGCAGACAGTCTTACAAAGAGGGAAATGTAGTGATTACATGATATCTATTCAATGTAAATATGAAATGATATAGAGGAGACTATATCTGATAAGACAAAGAAATTTGGATAGGTGATTAATAATTCTTTTTATCCCCTCATAGGATATCATGGCTTAGGTTGAAATTATCTTAATTTTATGAAGAAAATTGTCAATATTTTGAGTTAAATTGAATTTAGGGAAAGGAATTAGAAATATTTATGTTAGGAGCTTAAAACTGTACATGTTGTAAGGAAAGGACGTTAAACTTAATGATAATATTGATTATATCAGTTTTGAAATTTTCAATAATTTTTCAAATACATGGTGACTAGGTAAGCTCAGCAATCATAAACTTTGGATATGACAGTTATTTTTCTAATGGGAATTCTTGTTATTTTATGTAAAAAAGACATTTACCTTCTGATATACAGTGTAGTCCATATGAAACATTTGATTCATAGTGTCATTGACATTTGATTTCTAACGCAATTTAGCCCTGATTAGGAAGAAAACAAATATTTGTATAATTATATTCTAGTCCTTGAGTATTAATTACTCAGTACATCCACATAGAAAGTATTTTAATCAATTTATAAAAATATTCTCTGCCTTAAAGAAATTATTTTTGTAAGAGACAACAATGTTATATAAAAAAAAAA